CAATCTTCACATACATTTCAGCTTCCAAAAACATTCTGACATGACTTTAAGACCAAGTATTCTTCAATTCAAGTGGTTTGCAAAAAAAGCTGAGTATGTCTCATCAGAAATACTTTGATCACAATTGTGTTGCATTTTTTATTGTTCAGATTTGGAAATATTTGCATACACGTAATACAAGCCTTTGAAAATTAGATCAAAATCTAAATGTGAAAATTTTTATACCCTTCCTGACAATTTAAACTTTACTATTACCCAGGTACAGTGGTACATGCCTGTAATCTTCAAACTCCAGAGGTGGATAAAAGCATATTTATGGCTTAAGTCATCCTTCACTAAAAGACAGCTTCAGAATAAGTAGCCTGAGCTATGTGAGGCACTATCTCAAAGAAATAAAATAGATAAATAAATAAATACATGTCATGCCTATAATTTTATTAAGATTATGTAAGATCTTGGGGCTGGAGACACAGTTCAATGGTTTTGAGCAGCTCTTACTTTGGTAAAGGACCTGGGTTTGTTTTCCCTGCTCCATACTGAGGCTAACCATTGTCTCTGTAACATCAGGTCCACAGGCTCTAACCCACTTCTCTGGTCTCTGTGGGGATTAGTCACAGGAGTGCCCTTAACATGTATGCAGGGAAAACACTTATATATGAAATTAAAAATTAAATAATTTAAAAAACTGTAAAAGAATATATTAATTCTTCCAATGCATGGTCCTTAAACATTTAGCTTTATATATAGGCAATGCAATATCGATTTCCATTTCTATTTTTGCTGTGGTCATATATTTTTCTCAATTAAAACATTTCCTGGGTGTTAAAATCTGATAATTTTAGATGGTTTAAGAACTTCATGTTTATCTGCAAATGTAAATATTTTCAGGTTTCTATAAATTCACATATTTCTATTTAATATGCGATATAATTTAAATACACTTCGAAGTCCATTGCCATTGCAACTTTTTAAATACATGATGTGAATTAAAAGACTAACTGAAAATTTCACCATGTAGAGATATATTGCATTAATTCTACAGCAGTATCATAGGGTATATCGTAATCATTTTAACACATGATATGTCATCTGCATACAAATTACAGATGCATATTTTATTTAAATGAGTTTTCCCTTAACTCCCTTTTAAAGTACAACTTCAAGTTCTTGTGCTCATGATTTTCATGGTTAGTTTAGTTGAGACAAGTATTACATAATTTTCTTATATAGGCTAAAATAACAAATGCCTTTTAAATTTAAAATATCCTAAGAACCACATATATTTATCTTGTTTACATATGCTGTTACATAAATTATATTTTGGGCACTGTGATTCTTAAAGAGTCAAAATGCCACCCTTCCCACACACTAAATTTTTTTAAATGTGTGCTCAGTTTTCATTCTTCTTTTCTATTCAAGGTTCTTCTTTATTTTAAAATGTTTTTATTGAGTCTTTGGGAATTTCATACAATATATTTTGATCACATTAAGAGTTCCTTCCCCACCCATCTCTAACCCCATGTAACTACCACCTCCAAGATTTCATTTCCTTTATCATTTTTATTTTTTCAATATGCATTTTAATTGAATTTGTGTGCATTTCATAGAGTACCCCTAACAGTTCACCCCCACACCACCATATATATATATATATATATATATATTAAGGCCTATCAAGTCAAGTTTATGACCCATATGTCTCTCAGTGTGAGTTCATCCACTAGAGCCTGTTCAAACTATCTAGCATCAGTCTCCAACACCTGGCAGTGACCAGGTGCCAATGATTCCTCAGCTAAATTTTAGTATTCATTATTATTATTTTTTAAAGTCCTAAAGTGTCAAATGTATGCTCTTGTATGTGGTTCCATTTCTGGAGCCTGGTCAACCTATCTTGTGCCACATTCTTCAAGAAAACTGAGTTTCCTCCAAGTAGGTCTCAGCTTCCAATAATTGCTCAGCTAGGGTTGAAGCTTTTTGCCCACCTCCCCTGTCCTTCCTGAGTTTTTGTCTGGCTTGGGCTTATATAGGTCTTGTACATGTTGTCACATGTGCTGTGGGTTCATATGTGCAACTGCCCTGTGGTGTCCTGCAAACACAGTTTCCTTATGTTCATACACCACCTCTGACTTATGTAACCCTTCTTCAGCAGAACACAAACTAAAATTTAAACAACACAAACAAAATTAGCATGGCCCCTGCCCAAGAATGACATGCAAGTTCATCCAGAGTTCCATATTTACATCAGGATGCATCTTCATATTCAAGCTTCTCTGCCTTTCATGTCTTATTGTAGCCACTGTTGTGTTTCTAAATGTAGCTATATTATTTCTCTTTATATAATTTTTGTAACTTGCTAGATTCTTGACAAACTACATCTGAGCTTCAGATGAATCTGTCAAGTTATGCAGCAAATCTTTAACTGAATTGACCATAAAAATGAAACTTTTTTCCATCATACTATTGACTCATACAATTATTTGATAAAATGCAGTTATCCCGATCTTTTTCTCCATAACAAACTCTAATACTGGTATAATACTTATGATGTGCTTCTATTATGTGCCTTGTAATTTCTGGTCTAATTGCCTTATATAATAAATTCCTCTCATTAAATATTTTTTCATTATTAAATTTTGTCTTTTTAAGACAGGGTCTACAAGTTGCTATGTAGACCAGGCTGGCTTCTATCTCACAGAGATCCACCTGCTTCTGCCTCCCAAAGTGCTGGGATTAAAGGCGTGTGCCACCATGCCCGGCCTGTTTTCAAAATTAATTTAAAATATTTTAACCTGTATGATTCTCATGTATAAAGTAGGGTGTATATTTTTAATGATCTTATATCATGATTTTGGAAAGTAAATTTTCATCGATTCATATTGAGGAAAAATAATATCATAACACAATAATTAGTCACAATTTTATTTTATTCCCTGCTAGAATGAATAAGAATAGAAAAATATCTAGTCTGTCCCAATAGGATTGGGAAAAGGTTGTGGAAAGCTTTCCAGTGAGAATGAATTATAATACTGGAGCCATCTTAAGGCAGAGAGCCTTCAAACACGAGCCCTGTATGATAGTCACAGGCGATTTAATAGAGATGGAGGAAAGGATACAGGATGTGTCCACTGTGCAGGGGAAGAACCAACCCGGGGAAAACGGTCTGCTCTCAGCTCTTCTACCACAACGGCAGCAAGTTCCCAGCTAGTCTTGAACAGTGGTAGGATGTCATTTTAAGAAGAGAGGGTAGAGGGTTATAGTAAACAGATTGCACTATACATATGTGTGGAATTGTCAAAGAATGAATTCAATAAAAGATATTTAATTAAGACCCTTGTTGGGTCAGTGATTTGGCTGCCCCAGACCCTTAGTGAGCTCCCATGGGAAACTAAGAGCAAATATTATGGAACTATAATATGCAGCCTGGCCAGCAGAAGTCTCCCGTCTGTGGGGAAAAGATTTTGTAACAAACACTGCAATACTCAGCAAGGCAGAAACCTAGTGAAAGACACGTTCCATGGGGAACATGAACAGTCTCTAAGGGGCCTGTGCAACATTAGTAAGTTCAGCCAAGGAGAGACAACAGCATTGGAAACTAAACTCCTACCTAAAGCACTGCTCAAAACTGTGGCCAGCATCTGTGATCAGATATGTGAGCTTCTACTCTCTGACAGGGCCAGAGCTGTGAGCCTTGATCTCACATAGAAGCTCCCAGAGTATTATGAACCCAGGAGGGGTATATCAAGATCATAGGGGAGATCTAATTTTGGATTTTTGAGAACTGTCCATACTGAGCTTGACAGTGACTATACCAGTTGATACTCCCACCAGCAGTATGTAAGGAGCCTTGGCCCAGATCCTTGGCCTCATTCAATGTCATTTGTACTCCTAATGACCATCTTCTTGACAGTGGTGAGATGGAATCTCAGTGTAACTTTAATTGGATTTTATCTGATGGCTAATAGGTTCAGTGTTTCTTCATGCATTCATTGGCCATTTGCAATTATCTTTTAAGAACTGTCTGCTCGTTTTATTGGTCCATGTTTTAATTAGGTTGCTTGATTTCTATTGTTTATTTTTTTAGGTCATTGAATATTTTGGATATTAACCAACCTGGGTGTCCAGAACAGATATTCAGATAAAGAAACTATGATATGTATGTAAAACATGTGTCTATTGTATAATGCATTTTTTCAGTCACAGAGAAGAGTAATGTTATTTTTCAGGAAAAAAAAATGGGCACATCTAGAGATTATCACATTAAGTGATTAAAACATGGACCAATAA